CGCTAAGTTGATTGGGGGTAAAATTATATACGTTTGGCTGTTATAGATTGGATTCTGATAGTGAAATGAGTCATTTTGCTTGAAATGTGACGCTCAAATATATAACATATATTATACAACACATAACATAACATCCTGTATTAATTTATAACATTTCTGTTATCAGTGTTACATTATCAACAGGTGACTTTACATAACTTCTTACATAAAATCTTTGTTTCAATTTAACATATTATAAAAACACATACATGGTACCATGGCTGTTGCTACGAGCCATCCGGTCCTTACAAAACCAGAGTGAGAGCTGTGTCCGTTTTCTCAGCAGGTGGGTGTTGGGAAGGCCAGGGTTGTCCCTTGTCGCACATTATGTTTGTGATTTTCATTAACAAGATCTGAAGGTGCAGCCGGGGGAGGAGAGTGTTCGGTTTGGGGGACGGAGAATTTCTTCTCTGTTATTTGCAGATGATGTGGTTCTGTTGGCTTCATCAGACTGTGACCTCCAACATGCACTGGGACAGGTTCTAGTTGAGTGTGAAACGGTCAGGATGAGAGTCAGCACCTCCAAGTCTGAGGTCATGGTTCTCTGCTGGAGAACGTTTGATTGTTCCCTTGTGGGTTTGGAAGTGAGTTGTTGCTCCAAGTGAGGGCGTTCATGTATCTCAGGGTCTTGTTCACCAGTGAGGGTAAAATGGAGCGTGAGATCAACAGGCAGATTGATGCGGCGTCAGAAGTCTTGCAGATGTTGTACCAGACCTTCGTGGTGAAGAGAGAGCTGAGCGTGAAAGTGTGATTTTTGGTGATAAGCAGATGAAAAGATATTGAGCTGTATTCTTTACATGATAGTTGCTTTTAGTGAATTCTCAAACATTTGACACATCTTCACTATCTGACTGAACACTTGAATTATAAAGTACTGGACCCACTGTGACCTGGTAAATGTCAGGGGAAAAATACAACTTCTGTAAAGTAAGTTAAAGAATGTTAAATACACTTTAAATACATCAATTGGGTGTCAAATCATTTATTTAGCTAAATGTTGGAATGTATAGTTAGACATGCTGAACATTAGGTCTGACATATTACTAATATTCTCCTTATTGAGGAATCCTGCAGGTGGTTTCTCTCTGATGTGGATTTGCTGCTCCTGTGAATCCTCCCCCAGTGTTTCATTAGCAGCTGGAACCACAGTGACTCTGATAAAACAGGAATTAGCAGAATCCATCTGATATGAAGCTGTGGTTTGAATACCACTTCCCTCCTCTTTGAAGAGTAGTCAGATATCTGGGTTCAGGTTTTTGTACAGCCTCTTCTACACTTTGTATCACTGTGTTTCTAGAGCACAGTAGTAGAGAGCTGTGTCTGCCAGGGTTAGATCTCTGATGGTCAGTGTAGTTGATGTTGCTGATGTTTCAGATTCATATCTTCTATCAGGAATATGTTCATCTGAGATATCTTTTGCTCCTTTCCAGAGTATAAACTGAGGTGCCTGAAGGTCAGAATGATGTCTGTACCAGTGAAGCCAAATATTAGTAGCAGCTGTCTGATAGTTGCATGTGAGTGTGACAGATTGTCCTTCTCTTCCACTGACTTCCTCTCGTACAGGAGAGATTGTGTCTCCAGCTATTAGTCCTGGAAAAAGTAGAGCAAATGAAGCCATTAGACTAACATTGTTCATGAGGCTGAGAGGAGAAGACAGTGGAAAATGGCAGCTGTACAGTGTTACTCTGTGGACACAAACAGCTCAGCTGTTTCCATAAATCTTTAGAAAAGAATAAAAAGATGTTGTGCTTTCTATCTTACCAAAGAAAAGAGCAGCAAGAATAATCCCCAGCCAATGTTCCATCTCTACAACAAGGTTTAAATCAACAGGAGAAACTAGCTGATGTTCAACATTCAGTCTGAGAATTGTTCTCTTCACAGCAGCAGTTATTATTGACAGAATGGTTGAACACAGTGCAGAAGTAGTGCACCGCCTACTTGATAATGTGGCTCAGCTTGGATTAACAGCAGCTACAGTGTCATCTAGTGGCCAATCAGAATCAGACCACAGAAGAAGAAAAGATGCCACTGAAACTTCAGACTAGTCCAGCAGCATAATCCAGTTGTCAGCTGATGATCTGTTTGTTCAGCATTTTCCAAACTCAACATAGTTAAAGACTCTACTTCTGTGCTGCGTTATCACCTCCCCACATCTCTGAAGTTGTGGATTTACAGCAGCAATTAACAAAGTGATGCTACAAACTGTTGAGTCACCTTTCAAGCTTACAGGTGGAGAGGATTTGATAGTGAAACGAGGCATTTTCACTGGAATATTCCTTCAGACTAACAAAACCCACATCTGGATGCTGAGATCTGGAGGTGGGCAGTGAGTTCGGGGCAGCCGTGGCTCAGGAAGTGGAGGAAGTCAAAGGGTTGGTGGTTCAGTCCCCAGCTCCTCCTGTCCACATGCTGAAGTGTCCTTGAACAAGACTCTGAACCTGCTGCAGCTCCACCACCATCAGTGAGAGAGAGTGTGTCTGTTTGTCTGATGGAGAGAATCACTATGAAAGGCCTTGGTATAAAGAGCGTTCTGTACATGCAGCGTATTTAGTGTTTACAGGAAAGTTTGATGGTTGATGATGTCTTTATTCTTCAGAAGACAAAGAAATCATGTTTTTTTTTATTAACAGTGCAACAAATCCAGACTTCATCATCACGCTGGAGTTTAACAGTGTGTGACTCCCTCTAGTGGACGTTGTGGAGTATTCTGTTGTCTTTGCTCCAAAGGTTTTTGTACAGAGTTTTGGTGTTTCCTGTCACTGTGGGCCTCACAGCACAGTAGTACACAGCAGAGTCTGTCACTGCAGCAGAGGAGATCTGCAGATCCATTTGGGTTTTATCATCACTCACTTTAGCAGACCATCTAGACTTTGTTGCATTTTGTGTTCCCAAGTGAAAGATGAGGAACTCTGGTGGTTTTCCTGGATGTTGTCGATACCAGTAAAACTCATCACTACCAGTTGCTTTTTTAGAGTATGTGTAGGACAGAGTAACAGAGCTGCCTTCTAAAGTGAACTCTTCATTCCTGACTGCAGTGAGTTCTTCACAGCTGACACCTGAAGGAAGAGATAACTCTGTTATTTCATGTTGTAAAAGACTCAACAAATGAATCCCATCCAGAAAAGTTAGTAATGAAACTTTCTCAGCAGGATCTCACATACCTGTTAGAATGGATAGTAACAGTAGAGAAAGTACATAATAGTCCAATGACAGCATGTTGAATAAAGGGAATGTTTCTGCTTTGTGTATTGAACTCTGCTGAATATGGAAGTTCCTCTCTCTTCTATAGTTCACTAACAGCTTAGCTCCTCCCTCAATCTCTCCGTCTCCTCGCAGCTCTGGATTTTCACTTCCTCCTGTTAACAGACTGGTAGCAGCAGGTTGTATAATCTTTTATAAGCATAGTTCAAAGATGGATCATCTTTTCAGGATTTGCAAACACAAGGACTCAATTGAAGTCAGCTGATAACTGAACAAAACCTCACTACAGAATCTTGTATCCAGAGTATTTATGCTGAAGATGAGTGAGCATCTTAGCAAAGTTTGATTTCAAGTGGTTGACAGGATTTGAGGGGCCAATAAAAGGATCTCACTTCTAGACTCACTCAGTTGTAGGAAGGTCTGGAACAAGTGCACTTCACATGTAATGAACCAGCTGCCATGATTATTGTATTTGAATATGATGCCGTATCTGAACAAACATCTTGATCAACACCATGAAGTCCAAGTTGACACAGGAAGTGTCAAGATATTTGCATGAGGAGACCTGTGAGATGGTTCCATCGTGGGCGCCAACACCCCCTGGGCTCAAACACCCCAGTCCTTTAAATGTTCAGGACAAGGTAGTTGTCATCACATTTCACAAATCTTTGTATCTCTGAACAGTAGTCAGACAGCTCACTGTCCTTTTTCATTAAAGCTAAGATGGCAGCATCGTCTGAGATTTCATACAAGGTTGGTTATTAGTCAAAATTATAAAGGCAACCCTTTTGTTTTTGCCCCCATTCATCATGAGCTGAACTCAAGATCTAAGACTTTCTCTATGTACACAAAAGGCCTCTTTCTCTCTTATATTGTTCACAAATCTGTCAGAATCTGTGTAAATGAGCACTTCTCCTTTGCCGAGATAATCCATCCACCTCACAGGTGTAGCATATCAAGATGCTGAGCAGACAGCATGGGGATTGCACAGGTGGGCCTTAGGCTGGCCACAATAAAAGGCCACAAGAGAGCCCGGGGTCAGGGCGGCGTCTGGCCGCAGCGTATAGGTGGCAGCTGCTGTTACGAGGAGAGCCCCATGTAACGTTAGGAGGAGGCTAACTTAGTCGGGGAGACCCAGGTAGGGATCGGTTGCGTAGTTGGTGCTATTTGAACATGTTTTCTATCAAACATCAAATTCCGATTTAGTCTTAGTCTTTTGAATAACACACCATTTAGTTTTAGTCACATTTTAGTCTATCTGAAATCTTTTAGTCTTAGTCTAGTTTAGTCAACTAAATATCATAAGAGTTTTAGTCTTAGTCTAGTCTTAAGTCTTTTAGTCTTAGTCGAGTTTTAGTAGACCAAATATTAGCAGATTTTAGTCGACTAAATCTACAGTGGAGTGGACTTCCTGTCATTGGAAGTATCCATCAGTCTGTTATGAAATGGTATTAAGGTTTGAATCTGCAATACAGACACAGATTAAATTTTTATTTAATTCTGGATGTCAAAAACACTGACCGTGTTTTTTTCACAAAAGATAATCTCACATAAAATAAGCATAAGGCCTGCTCTCCCTGAAAAATAAACATGCTCCCTGAAAAAGATCCCTCCCTGAATGATATGCAATGCATATGACATTCTTTCAAGATGAAGTATAATATTATTGAAATAGATAACCTTAACTTACTGTCTTCTACTGTCTGTGCAAAATCAAAAACATTAAGAAAAATAAAGTGCAATTCTCAAAAACAATAATAAAACTATTGGTTGTAATGCCATTGCACAATCTAAATACAGAAACTTCACTACTGTTAATCTTCACGTACCTCAAGAGACGTTAAATAACTGCTAGGCTTTAAACTGAACAGATTAGTGCAATTCTCTAATGTAGAATAAAAGATGTATTGGCTGTAATGCCATTGCACGCACTACCAAAGACATCCTCCCTAATGTTCAAGTAAATAAAAAACCCTGCTCTCATACAGGTAAATGTCACATTAAACTAAAAAACTCTGTAAGCATCATCTTCTTCTTCATCCTCTATTACTCTGTGCATTGTGTGCAAAATCAAAGAGATTTGAAAACAAAACATGTAAAAGATAATATGTATTGGTTGTAATGTCATTGCACACAAAATGAAATAATCTTCTGTTAATAATTAAAAGAAGTATCAAGTATCAGTGAATTACATGCTGAGCTGTAATGCCATTATTGCATGGAACGAAAAAATCTCTCTGCTCTCATATTAAACAAAAAACAAAACAAATAACTTTCAAGCTGTGCATATACTACTTCAGGAAATGCTGTAAATAGCAGTGAATACAACAGTTCTATTTGTTTCTGTTCATTTTAAGGAAAGCACTTCGCTCCAGTGTAACCCTTCCTCTGTTGCGCCGTCCTCTTGTGAGGTCACCTGTGATGCTGAATACCCTCTCTGCAAAGCTTGAGAAGCTGGCATAGCCAACAAGTCTAACGCGAAAGGTTTTAAACTGTGATAAAAACTGTCACTCTTATCCAACCACAAGTCTGTTCCTGTGTCCGCAGTGATGGGATGTGAAAGTTCTTCCTTGTACTTGATGATCTGCCGCCTGATGCTGGTTGTGGAGGTTTTCTGTTTAGGCCTCGTGGTGCAGCATTTTGAGAGGAACCTAAACACCGGCTGCTTTGAGGATGGCGCTGCTTCTGGTTCCTCAATAACCTCTTCTTCTGCATCATCTTCAGACTGGTCCTCCTGTCTTGTGTGTGGGAAAGTGCATTTGACCACATAGTCTTCTGCCTGTTTCAGCAGTTCCTGGATATTTCCATCAGCCACATCAACATTAACAAGGATTTCACAGACAGTTGGGTTGACAAAGCAGGCAGCTGCTGCAAGTGCTGAGAACTTTTCATCGGTTGAATCCAAGAGGCAAGCAAAACGCTGGTTCAGATTTGATCTCATTTTCTCTGCAAGAGTGGCAAGGTCTCTGTACCGAGTGTTCTCTGCAAAGTCAGTTAGGCGGCTCAGCAGATCAAAGAGGGCAGGAACCACTAAGGACATAGATGCAGTGTCACTCTGGAGGGTTTTAGTGTGTTCCGCAAAAGGCAGCAGTAAGTCATGCAATGATGAAAGCTTTTGCCACTCACTAGTAAGCAAACTGTCCCATCCCATGTCATTTGTGATTTGACAGACTGCATCTTTGACTGTGAGGAGTCGTGCGACCATGTTGAATGTGCTTGACCAGCGTGTGGGGCAGTCATTTACAACAATAACACCACAGTGGTCCGATAACCTCTGTGTTGCAACTGAGGACTTGCGAAAGAGCTTCACCACATCACCACCATGTCGACATGATGGTACCTAATAACAAGAAGAAAAGACAACCATAGAAGTCTAACCTAATAAATTGGCTGGTGTGTGTCTGTACATACTGTATATATGTAGTGTGTGGCAGGGGGAAAACCATTCATGTGATAATTGACTGTGATGTAAAAGAATAAACTAAACATGGCTCACCGCTGGTCATCAATTTCAGAGTCACTTTCCATCGTGGACCCAGGGGAGTCATCCTCAGAGCTGGTTTCTTCTGCTGTGGTGTTTTTAAAGGCTGCCACCATGTTACTCCCATTGTCCGTTTTACCGTCAGGATCTTCTCCTTTGGTATGCCCCACTCTTGCATACATTTGTCCACACATGCCTTAATAGACTGTGCAGTGTGTGGGTGAGCTACTTGTTCAAGGGCCAACAATTGTGTACAGGTTTACTTTGTTCAACACAAAAGTAGCGTGCGCTTATAGCAAGGAAGGAGGCTGTCAGTCCTTTTTTTGTCCACAAGTCAAGGCCAATGGAAACTCTCCGGGCAGCAGCCAGTCTCTCTTTGAATTTTGTCTTTCATGTTCATACTGTGTTTCAATCAAATAGCTCATTTTAGTTTTCTTTGGAACTGTTAGTCTCCTATCTACTATCTCCATCATTAGCACAAAGTCCTCGTCTTCAATTGTTGTGAGTGGTAAACCTGTGCGTCCAATCCATCTAGCTATGGCCTGCTCCTTGGTCTGTTGTTCCTTCCATTCAGTTTTGTACTTTGAAGAACTTAGGAAAGCTGTAGAGATGGCCTGCTGCTGGGTTGCACTAGCAGCACTAGCTTTATTTCCACTTGGCCTACGGTCATCTTTGTCATCAGATGTCTTCTGTATCTGTGAGGGTGAATAAAGGGGAAATCAAGTTGGTTTTTTTTTTGCCCAATCTCCTCAGATCTCTCCCTCTCTCTCTGTCTCTCACTCACACACCCTTCGTCCAGTCATATAACGCCACAACATCTAACGTTACTATAATACACATTTTACACATTTGATTCAATTTGAGGACATTTAATATTTATGCTCATATTAATTCAGCGAGACAATCGTCTAATCAATATAGCTCAAGCTGGTTTCCTTTAGCTTCTATTTTATTCCAAGTTTAGCGGAAACACGGTGGTTTATCTGATAAAACAAGCTTAGCATGTATGCTTACTTTCGCGTGTATTTCCGGATGAGTCGTCTGTAAATGTCGCTTCAAGTTGGTGGTGTTTTTCCCAGAGATTTTTGCTCCACACGGTTTACAGGCGGCCATGAGATTCGCTCTGATTGGATTTCTTCCAAACTTGTCCCACAAAAAGAGTAGTGATGATTGAATCTCTTCTCCATTCGTCCCTCCCTAATATTTTTGTCTAATTTTTATTCGTTGACTAAAGTGTCAGTTATATTTCGTCACAGTCTTCGTCATCATATCTGACTTTTTATTTAGTTTTTATTTAGTTTTCGTCTGTGAAAAAGGTTCGTTGACGATATTTTTCATCATAGTCTTCGTCAATGAAATTAACACTGCTTGGTGGTTTTATTTCCTTGTTCTGTTCTGATGGTCTGGCTTGGAGCTCATCCTGCATGTAAGACGAACTTGCCCCTTGTACATTGAGTGCGAGCTCCCCTTGCTGCTGGGTCAACTGTCTGCTGGTCATTATATTTACTGCATGTCAGCTAGTGTGTGTTTCACGGGGTCATTGATATCTCAGCCAGCCTGTCTCTTTGTGCTTCACATTGTTTTAATACCTTTTTTTGATTAACAAACTGCTTTCCAGTCAGACTTGCCTTCAGGCTGCTAGAGACCTGTTGTTCGTGGCTCCAAGGGGGGCCTCCGCTATCTTCCAATTTCTTAGCTCTCCATCAATTGTATTTCTCCTCCATTTATTGTATTTCACCCATTTAACCAAGAATGATAGAGGTAATGAATTTCTTGGGACCACTGAGTATCTGAGGGTTTTCTGTATGTAGGTTAAAAATTATACTGTAGATTGCATGTGCTTCATTTATTTATAGTATTTATTTAGACAATACATTTAGCGGACGCTTTTATCCAAAGCGACTTAAATTGCTTTACATGTCAGAGGTCACAGGTCTGAAGCAGCGAGGGGTTAAGTGTCTTGCTCAGGTACACAATGGTGGATGTCTCACAGTGGGAATCGAACCCAGGTCTCCCACACCAAAGGCAAGCATCTTATCTATGCGCCATCACCATCCCCAGTATATAGATAGATAGCTAGCTTGAAAAAGGGTGTCCCTTTTCACAAATAGTTCTGATTGTCCTTGTATTTTAATGTTTTGTGAAAAAACTAAATTGAACTGAGCTGCATCGTGCAGCGACAAAGACTAAAACTAAACTAAGACTAATAAAAACGAAATAAAAATAAAAACTAATGAAAAATCCAAAACTATAATAACCTTGGTTAACACATCATCTCTACAAAACTGCAGATGGTGCCTGTTGCCTCCTCTAAGCCCAGGCTATGGAAGAGGTCCCAGCTGTTACAGGAAAAGCAGCCTTTTAAGGTCTCAATGCCATCATTGTTCCAAACATGTACACTTTTACTTGTGCTCTCCTGCTTTTGAGCAGGGACTTGTAGGTGGGAATTAAATGGACAACATTATGGTGAGAGGTGCAAATGTGGGTTTAGTATTACAGTCTAGATATTGCTTCAAACCAGGCAGCACAGCTTCAGCTTGCAGTGGTTACAGTCACTAACAAAAAAAGGCCCTTCAGGGGTGTGTTTCAATTGTCTGTGAAAACAGTCTGCTAGAGTGGAATTGGAGATACTTTGGAAGTATTATGGATATACATGATTCAAATTCTGTTCTGTCTGTTTTTGTTTATTGTGTTTTATCTGTAGTGCTTCATTTAAAGTTGCTTCTATCACCACTTCAACAAATCCAGACTTCATCATCACACTGAAGTTTAACAGTGTGACTCCCTCTAGTGGATGTTGTGGAGTATTCTGTTGTCTTTGCTCCAAAGGTTTTTGTACAGAGTTTTGGTGTTTCCTGTCACTGTGGGCTGCAGAGCACAGTAGTACACAGCAGAGTCTGTCACTTTAGCTGAGATGATCTCCAGATTCACACGTTTCTCTTCTTTATTAATGTGAGCTGAGAAAACTGAACCAGTTGGATAAATCGATCCACTCTCTGTGATGGAGAGCAGGAACTCTGGTCTGGATCTCTGGTATTGTCGGTACCACTGGATACTGTAGATAGCACCCTCATATTTACAGGTCAGGTTGATGTTTCCTCCCTCTGCAACATGTTCTTCAGGACTTTCTGGCGTTATGCTGTTCATGGAACCCAGGGCTGCAAAATGAGTCATTCATGTCAGTTAGTCTGCAAGAGATTCTAACATCAAGAGACTCAATGGAGGTTCTTGACTTTCTGGATTCATTCAATAAACCACATGTCTGTTTCTATCATGGAAGTTGTTCCCTTCCACAGAGAAACCTCTAGTTCTGAAATGTAGACCAAATATCTGGTTAATCCAGCAGGTTAATGAGCCTTTCATCTGTGTTCCAACACTCACCTATGAAGTGAGAGCAAAGTAAAAAGAGGTAAAGCAACATGTCTTTGGAGTTGTTAAAGCCAGACAGACAGCAGATGAGCAATGTTCTTCCACTGCAGTAGAATGAAGAAACTAAACAGCCTCTCTGCTGCACAGCCCTTCTCCTCAACATCAAGCTGATTGTGCTTTTAGTTCCTCAAACATTTCTGCTCTGGAGACGCAAAGAATCTCATTGGTTGAGTTGGACTTCAGTGGGCGGGGCCAGAGAATCCCCTTTTTAGAGATTGGCTGTCTACCAAAGGTCAGTTCAGCCAGTGAGATTATTTGTGCATCCAGAGCAGCTCTGCCTCAGAGAAATGTTTCCTGAATGTCCACTTTCAGTTCTTCACACCACTGTGAGACCGAGGCAGGTCCCACTAGAAGGAAGCCTACCTGAAGACCTGCTCTCTATTCTGGGAACATGGAGGACATTTCATTAGGGACGTCCTGATCAGGTTCTTTTGCCTCCTATTCCAGTCAGACTCAATCAATATTAAGTTTCTGCTCATACAGAGTCGCGATCTGATACTTGCATTTGGCAAAATGCTCACATTTCAGAACCTAGTGTCCCCATAGTTGTTAGATGTGATGACAGAAAGCTCTCCAGTCTTCCTCTTTGGATGGTAGCACCAGTGGTGGTCTTAAGCATCTGGGGGGGCATTTTAAGTCTCACCTCTGGTTTAAGTCTGCTACTGGGTACATCCAGGAGGAGGAAATAGGTGAATCTCAGCACTCTAGCTGCAGTATGAACGTGAAGAAGCTCCGTTAAGTACAATGGAGCCAATCCATTAAGGCATTTAAAAGTTAAAAGTAAGATTTTAAAATCAATCCTGTAATGAACAGGAAGCCAGTGGAGGAAGCGCAACACAGGTGTGATGTGGTCCCTCTTCTTCTTTCCTGTCAGGAGGCGGGCAGCAGCATTTTGGACTAACTGCAGGCGCTGAGTAGATGACTTGTCTAAGCCCACATATAAGGAGTTGCAATAGTCAAGGCGGGAAGTTATGAAGGCATTAATCACCCTCTCCACATCTTTAGGAGGGAGATAGGCCTTTGCCTTAGCTATAGTTCTCAACTGGAAAAAGTAGGATCTAACAGTGGCGGATATCTGTTTATCAAATTTAAACACACTATCCAATACAACACCAAGACTCCTCACAGTTGAGCGGCTGTTTGAAGTTAAAGGGCCGAGAGAATCTACATCAAGCAGTTCAGGGTGTCCAAACACTATGATCTCTGTCTTGTCTCCGTTTAGGTTGAGGAAATTTAGGTTCATCCACGTTTAGATGTCCTTCATACAGTCAAGCAGGGGCTGCAGTGAGCCCTTTGCTTTTACATTCAGGGGCAAATAAATTTGAATATCATCTGCAAAACAGTGGAAAGAGACCTCATACCTCTCAAAAATGGAGGCCAGGGGCAGCAAATACAAAGAAAATAAGATGGGGCCTAAGACAGAACCTTGAGGGACACCGCAAGTAAATGGGGCTGTCTCAGAGGAATAATCACCGAGGTGGACAGAGAAGCTCCGATCAGTTAGATGGGATTGAAACCACCTAAGTGCAGTACCTTTGATTCCCACTCAATTTTCCACCCGTGACAAGAGGATTGAGTGGTCAACAGTGTCAAAGGCAGCCATGAGGTCTAAGAGCACTAGGACGGCAGAGACTCCTGAGTCAGTTAAAATCAAGTCATTAAAACTCTTAAAAGTGCTGTTTCAGTGCTGTGACAGGGTTTGAAGCCGGACTGGAACTTTTCATAAACATTATTATCAATGAAATGTTTGCAGCTGGGTAAAAACTACTTTGTCCAGGACTTTAGATAAGAGACAGTTTAGAGATGGACCTGAGAGAACAGAGGGGTTGAGATTTTCCTTTTTTAGCAGGGGCTGTGTTAAACCCAGCTTTTCTAGCATTTACTGTACTGGTTTAGCGGACCAGGAAACTCACAGACCAATCGCACGTGCTCCAATCGTCTCATGTGACGCTGCTCAGCCAATCAAATCTGTGCATTCCGATGGTTGCGAGTCGAGTCCGCCAGGTTCACCAAAGACGTTTTGGAAACACACAGGAATTGAGGAGATGAAAGGGAAAAGGGATTTCACATGGCTTTTAATCAAGAATGTACAGATTTTTACATGTACATTCATCCCACGGGCAGTTCAAAGCCAGAATATCTCATAGAACTCCAATGCTAGCTGGACAAGCTAGAGCTCACGTTTCTCACTGAACAAGAGAAAGTAGGGAGGTGGTAGCTCTGTAAGAGGGAGGGAAAGAGGAGAGGAGGTATTACAACTGTTTATTTGTTACGATGTGTTGAGTGTGTGTTATAAAATTGGTTAAGACTGCACTTCATCACTTCAAGCTACACTTTTTATTTCATTTTCTCAAAAAATTAGGCACTTTATTTTAGTTTACTTAAATTTAGAATTTATTATTAGTCTAGTTATTATTTATTATCCCTCCAGTTTGATGTGAAAATTTTCTCTAACTGGAGACTTTGAATTCTAATTGAATACCCCTGGTGTAGAATAATGCAGCACAGTGAGGATCCAGACTTTTCATAGAGGACACAGCATCTGTCTGTTAACAGCCTACGATACCACTGGAGATTCTCGGCTTTAACTGAATAGCTACAGGACAGAGTAACACTACGGCCCTCTGATGAGAACACTTCAGCTCTGCTGGCAGTAATATCATCTTCCAAGGTGTTACCTAGTGAGGGAAACAACATGTTAGATTCAGAGTTCTGTTCCAAAGGCAGACATCCATCATTTAAAACCAGCACTCACTGTCAGAAACACTCGTACCTACGAGAGCTGAAAAGAACAAAAGTGCAGCGAGTTTCTCCATGTTGACAGAGGAGAAATGCTGGAACTGAATGTTCAGTATGAATACGTTCTGTCAGTTGTGTTTGGTCTGATGTTCACAGCTGGAATCAAAGAGTTCTCTGCCATGAAGCAGCTCTGCAGTCAGTAGGAGGAGACTCATATTTCACAGTAGTTTCATTTCTGAAGCTCTTCATCACAGCTGGGTCTCACGAGAGAGAAGAATCCAGACTGGATCAGAAAATGAAGTTTAACAGTGTGTGACTCCCTCTAGTGGACGTTGTGGAGTATTCTGTTGTCTTTGCTCCAAAGGTTTTTGTACAGAGTTTTGGTGTTTCCTGTCACTGTGGGCTGCAGAGCACAGTAGTACACAGCAGAGTCAGACAGCTGAAGCTTCTGGATCTTCAGAGGAACTGATCTAGAGGTGGAATCCAGTGTGGATGAAAATCTCTCCTTGTACTTGTCTGCTGTTTTCCCTTCGTCCCGTTGAACGCGGCTCAGTATGAATTCAGGGCTGTTGTTTCCATCCTGTTTGTACCAGAAGAGATAATCATTTGTTGTACTGCTGTTATATAGACAGCCAAGTGTTACTGTCTCTCCTTCAGCAGCAGTCACGTCTCCTTCTGGTTGCAGCACGTTGTCTTTTTGTGCTCTGCATTCTGTAAAACAGCAACAAACAGTATCAGTGTGCTGTTAAAGAATCATGTCAATGTTGGATTGATATCAGAGAACCAGAGTTGTGTTCATACCAAGGCACACAGCAGCCAGCAACACTGAGATGAACAGAGGCGTCATATCTGCAGTGTTGAGGAACTGTGAGCTCCAGCAAGTATAAAGAAGGCTGTGATCTCTCTGTTTAGTTTTCATCAACACTAAGTTGGTGGATTAGAAGGAGGAGCCTGATCACAGTGACGGGGCTCATTCACAGCCCTGTGTTATTCCCCGACTGACAACTTTACACTCAACACATTTTCCTCACTCTCTCCTTTCCTAGTGTGACAATTAGGATCAATTAGTGAATGTTTTTAATATGGTATCAGCATCATATTAAAGGCCTGTCAGTTTGCCAGCCTGTCCACAACTTCTCCAGATAAAGGGCTAAAATATGAAGCCTGTTCAGAACACATAAGGATCTCCAAAACCAGCTCGGTGGTGTCGGCCAGAGGTCGGAGTAAATCATGTGTCCTAGTCACAAGCAAGTCCCAAGTTACTGAGAAAAGTCAAATTAAATTCTTAGGAATTCAGTTTATGTTGAAACAGTTTAAGAGAGGTGGTAATTCAACTGTTTGATCATTTTGGAAGACGTAGTGAGTTTCTGTTCTAACTGTAATGAACACAACACAAAGGTGTTCCTATTATTTAGTCTACTATTGGCTTCGCTGATTATTGAAATGGGGTAGAAAAATACAGTAATAGAAACACGTGTCAGTAACGGTAAGCTCTTCGCATTCCTGTAAAAATTGTTGTTGGGTATGTTATAGCGTATTTTTTTCAAAAACAGCACCGCCCCTTGGCGGCAAGCGGCTGCTGCTGCATCACGCCGGAGATTGACGCAGATGTGTTTTTTTTAAGTTAAAGCTGGATATCGTTATTTTCAGAATTTTATTGGCTACAGGAAGTGCCAGTCATCGGCACAATTGGTTACAATTGGCTCGGCCTACCCACAAAATAACAGGGGCTTTCCTCCGGCGCGGGCTCTCGTTGGCTACTGTAGACTGTGAAAAGGACATGTGAGCTCCTATTGGGTCAAAGTGGGTGTCAGTCGAAAGGTCAGAGTTCAGAAGCTAATTTCAATAGAGATCGTATTTGTTTACATGCAAATCGGAGTTATTATGGTGTGTTTATGTGTTTTGGACTAAATGTTTTTACTAGATTGGATTGTCTGGACCTTTGACAACAAGACCATATTTGTTGGAATATCATCGACCTTTGAGGCTTCACAGTTGAGTCGCGTCAATTTTGATTGTACTGGTTGGTCTGACAGAGGCGCTTTTACCCGCTGTGGTGATTTTATCTTGAAATGGTTTGTATTGGTCGAATCATAAGCTTTCTTTCAATCAGCGGATCATATGAGTATGAAGTTAGCATATGTGCAGTTGTGGGCACATAACGAAAGCTGTCATCACGACCTGTTACCACCATGAATGTTAAGAGGTTTTCACATAAAGTTACAAACTGCAGCCAAACAACTGGGTGTAGCTTAAACTTAATGCTAGC